AAAAAAAAAAAAAAACTCACTGCCATCAAGTCGGTTCCAACTCATACCAGCCCTTCCTTGGGTTTCAGAGGCGGTATCACTAAGAAAGTAGATTGCCCAATCTTCCTTCCAAGGAGTGGCTGGTGGGTTTGAACTGCCAGCCTTTTGGTTAGCAGTGCCTTAGGCACTACGCCACCAGAATTCTCCTAGACCTCAATTTCCCTGAATGACATGTTTGGATAGTTTTTGAATATTCATTGTATAAAATAAAGTTGGAAAAAAATTTAAAGTTAAAAACATCCTTTGGGAACATTGATTGGAATTTTGTTGAATTTAGGAATTAGTTTAGGAAAATTTGCCAACTTTCTGGTTTTGAGCCTTCCTAAAGAATATCATTTTTCACATCTTTATCTTCAATTAGGTTTCATAGTTTTCTTCATATTAATCTTCCAGTTCTCCTGAGAAATTATTCCTAGATAATTTGTTTTTTATAGCTGTAAGGATGGGATATTTTTCTCACCATATAGTCTTAACTGGTTCTTTTGGTGTATTAAAGACCTGTTGAGTGTTTTTTTTTTTTGTTTTTTTTTTTTAAGTAATCTATTACTGTGCATCTTACTGAACTCCTTTTAGTTCAATTCTAGAATCTCGGGCATTTTCTAGTCATGCTATCAAACAACTCTAAATAATAATATCTTTCCCTCCTGTTTCCAATAGTATTATCTTTTTGTTTGTCTTCATTTTTAACAGCATTGGCAAGCATGTTCACAATAATATTAAATAATAGTGATGATAGTGGGCAGTCTTGTTCTTCACTTTCACAGCAATTTTTTTGACTTTACCATTCAGCTTGATGTTTTTGGCCTGTAATTATAATTTTTAGTCATCCTAAAGACAAAATCTTCTAGTCAACCTTTCCAAGTTTTGGTGGGTTTTTTGTTTGTTTATCATACTACTAGTTAAATTTTATCAAGAGCTTTTTCAGCATCTATTCAAATGATCATGCATTTTTACCCATTAGCAATAGATTTTCAAATATTAAATCTTTTGTTGGTTTCCTGGGAGAATTCTTATTTGGTCACAGTGAGTTATTCTTCTTAAGATAATAGGTTAGTATAAAAAAAATCCTGGTTATTTAAGTACAGTTGCTACTAGAATAATATATATAAGATGAATCTTTTAAAATGGATAGTAAATTTCTTTAATAGTTAAAAAAGGAGTTTTTAAAAAACTAAAACTATGAAAATCTTTGCTTTATTATATATTGACAGATTTTTTTACTTTGTTATGAGGCCTAATTTGGGAAAAAAAAATTAGTTGTTAAGAAAATTTTATTATAGTAGAATATTCCATCTTTTACTTTACTTCTCAGATTCATAGTAATTTTAAAGACGATATTTTAAACAAGTGTCTGAGGCATTGTCAATTTTCCCAAGGGCTTCTGAATACATAGATAGTCAAATTATTCTCTCATAAAGAGATCATGTCATTTTCTATCTCAAATTTACTTAATTTTGTTGTTAAATTATGTAACTCTGTCATTGACTGTGCGTATGAATGGAGCCATTTTCAAACATCACTTTCATAGACTGCATAGACTTCATAGACTTCACCTTTTAATATTTTAAGTTTGGCTTTGTGAATATTTTCATGTTTTAGGATCTTTGCTTTCCTATTCACTTTGTACTACACAAACTTCAATAATGAAGATGCCTGCATTTTACCTAAGATCTTTACATCAAAACTTATGATTGAGCCTGATATGTAAGCAGAGAGATTCTTTTTCTGGGATCCATAATTAGAATTCCGGTGGCCTGGGAACTTGATGGGAGAACATTTTTCATCTTATTTTCACAAACTTGTAACTTAAATATATCATGTTCTTCCATTCACAAACAAACCATAGTAGTAATAGTACTATGCATGATATCACAGTAGAAATCACAGATATTTTTCATATCATATTATAGTTTGTACATTTATTATAAAATGCAGTTTGCCCTTATCACTACTTTAAAATTATTATAGTAACTAAGTCTGCTGATAGAATAAAATTCCTGCTTCTTTATAAATTATTTAAATTCTATCTCCTTAAAAATATATTTTGATAATTGATTTCCTTTGAAATTTTATATATTTTATTTTATGCTATAAAGCTTTATTTTGTGAAGGTGTTCATAGGCTTCACCAAACTTTCAAAGAGGTCCATAAACTTAAAAAAAGTTAAGAGCCCTTGATTTCTTTTTGCTATATTTTAGGATGTATTGCATATCTTTTTGCACTAGAATTATAATATATAAAAATTTGAACTGTGGATTTGAACCACCAGCCTTCTGGTTAGCAGTCAAATGCCTTGTGGCACTGTGCCACGAGAGTTCCTGTTCTGGAACAGGTTTAAACATTAACTGTCTGTTCCTTGAAGGCTTGAAATCACTCACCCATGAAACCATCTGGACCTGGAGCTTTTCTAAGAGGCAGTTCAATTCCTTCCATGAAAAAATATTTAACTTCAATTTAGCTTGTGTGGCTTTTCTTTAGCTAATTTTGGTAATTTATATCTTCATGGAAATCTTCTATTTCTTCTGGATTTTCCAATTTATTAGTAATTATTCTTGCATAATTCCTTAAGTTTCCTTTCCATCTGTGATTAATCTAAAAGCATAATTGAGGAAATGATTTTATTTTACTAATTACAAGTCTCGCTGTGTACTTTTGAGAAACTTTATAGAGTTAGCTATGCAAAAAAACATAATTAACTTGATCTTTAGATGGTGTACAGTTTTCAGGGTCCTTAGATTAGGAACCACAATTAGGGTTAGCAAAGGAATGTTCACCTTGTTCTGGGTTAACAGACATGTTGCTGATGTGATGTTTTAGGGGAAAAAAAAACAAAAACTTGTATTGTGAATTGGGTAAAAGTTGATAGAGCAGATTGGTTTGCCACTTTGTCGAGGATTTGAGTTAACCAACTTTCTCATCATCAGTTGGATTCATTACACATCACCCCTTTTTTCATTTCTTTTAATATACAGCTACTCTCCAGAGAGACCGAATCTTCAAACATTTTACCAGAAAGCGCCAGAGGGCTATGCGAAGGCGAGTCCACCAGATCAATGGACACAAATTTATGGCCACATACTTGAGGCAGCCCACATACTGCTCTCACTGCAGGGAGTTCATCTGGTAAGAACCTCTCTGGCTTCCTTCCCTGGCTATGTGTAATTTCAGAAGGTAGAACGATTTTTTTTTTTTTTTTTAATCTAGTACTGCTATAACAGAAATACCACAAGTGGATGGCTTTAAGAAGTAATTTATTTTCTTATAGTTTAGGAGGCTAGAAGTCTGAATTCAGAGTGCTGGCTCTGGGGGAAGTCTTTCTCTCTGTCATCTCTGGAGGAAGGTCCTTGTCCCCTTTCAACATCTGTGGGCATGGCATTGCTTGGAGATCTCCATGTATCTTGGCATCAGTCTTCTCCTGGGCCTAGGAGGTTCCCAGCATAGGGACCCCATGTCCAAAGGACATGCTCTTCTCTTAGCTCTTCTGTCTTGGTAATAGGAGGTCCCTCTCTCTCTGCTCATTTCTTTCTTCTTTTATATCTCTTGTAAGATAAAAGGTGATGCAGGTCACACCCCAGGGAGACTCCATAGGATTAGGCCTATGTTCTGATTAATGGTGTTGTATACCACCCTAATCACCTTTTAGCTGATCGACTGATTACATTATGTCACATCATGGGGAATAACTGCATAACTGCCAAATTACCTCATTATGTAACTGCCAAACCACTGAGGATCATGGACCCACCAAGTTGACACATATTTTTTGGGGACATAATTCAGTCCATGACAGTTGTGAAGAATTATTTAAGATCTAATTTTTATTCAGGAAGAAGACTGGGCAATCTACTTCTGTAAAGATTTCCAGCCTCAGAAACCCAAAAGGGGTTGCTGAGTCAGAAATGACTTGATGGCAGTGAGTTTATTTTTGGGTTTTTTTTGGTTCTAACATCACCAACTTTAATCCTCATTGCAAAACAAAAACAATAACCACCACAATAAAATTAAACCATTTACAGATTCAAGTCCCAGATGTTATTTTGTGTACCAGCCATTTTGGTAAAAGTGCCAATGAATCATGAACTGGTCATAAAACACAGTTTGGAAGGAGAGGCTAAGAGGCTACAAAATCAGTAAATTAGGTAACAGTCCTAGAATAAAAAAGAAAAAATCAACAGTATTTCTTTACAGAGATACAAGTCAAATGATGAGTTGTGGAAATTAGTCGTTAGAAGTAAGCTCAGGTGGTGGATTTGCAGTAGTCTTCAGCCTTATGATATGTAGGTGAAAGTTAATAGCCTTCAGTGATCCTATACTATAATCTAACTGCTGGCTATTAGGAATTGAAGGTGATTAATAGTTGAGAAATTTTAGATGATTTCACGCAACTCAAGCTTAAGTCTGTCTCAGTGGCAAATCTGTAATGTAAAATAAATTTAGGTAGTATTTGTCTTCAATTATAGTTGACACTAAATGTATTTATTTGTAAAGAAGAAAAAGAAACTTCCCCTTGCACACATATATACACATGCCATACATCTCAGAAGGAGAAAACAAGGTTTAGTCTCTGCAGCAGGAAAGGAGATCTGTGCTTTTGTTGCAAACTTTAATCATTTTATTGAATGAAAACAGAAGCACTCAGTTCCAAGCAATTTCTGGATATGGATCACTTATGCTTTATTTTATTTTCTGTGATTATTCTGAGATTATTTTAGATTTTATATCTTTTAGCATCAGAACCCAGGGTTAGTTACTGTTTCTGGCACTTTTAATCAAGGATAGAGTTTTATCTGAACAAAAGACCCTAAACTGGCTGGTAATATGAAACTTGCAAATGTGTCATAGCATCTATAATCTTTAGGAAACAAAATTATATTATGCTTTCTATTGGAAAAACCAGAGGCTCTGCCATCTGTTCCCTCTTTTTTTCCCACCATCTTCCTCCTTTGCAGTGGTCTCACTCTCTAGTTTCCACTCCCTGTGGTTTGCCTGACATAAAGGGTGACAATTCTTTGCTGTATATCTTCATGCCACACCCATTCTGCTTCCCTCACTTCTGTGACCTGCCTGGCCCCTGAAGGCATTTGAGGTTACAACATCTGACCTCAACTAACATCCTTAACGGAAACTTATTTGATAATTTCACTAATTTGTTTCCATTAAGGAAATGGTAACTCCCACTCAACCAGCCATTAACCCTGTGGAGCACACATACTCACGTGCAGCCACCCACACTTACACACATGCACCCACACATGTACATACACACACTTAAAATATCGATATATTTATTTTGTAAATATATATGACTGAGAGTATATACTCTGGCATCAGATTTCATCACGAACTGGATGTATAATCTTAGACGAGTTATGTAACCCATCAGCATTTCCTCATTTGCAAAATAGAAATGATTTTATTTTATTAATATAACAAACTTTTATATAGCACCTACTGAATGCTAATCACTATTCTAAGAGCTGTACATTCTATTCTTTTTTCCTTCTCTCCTCATGATAACCCTTTGAGGTGTAGTTGTATTGTGCCATCGAGTAGGACCCGACTCATAGCAACTCCTCCCTGGGTTTCCGAGGCAGTATCACTACAGAAGTAGATTGTCCAACCTTCCTTCCGAGGAGTGGCTGGTGGGTTTGAACCACCAGCCTTCTGGTTAGCAGTCAAGCGCCTTAGGCACTACGCTACCAGAGCTCCTGCCCTTTGAGGTAGGTAGGTACTATTATCATTAGTCCCACTTTGCTGTGTTGTATTGGGTGCTGTAGAATTCATTCAGACCCATAGTAACCCTGTGTGGCAGAGTAAAACTGCCCCATAAGGTTTTCTTAGTGGTAATTTTGACAGAAGCAGATCACCAAGTCTTTCTCTCGCAGAGCTTCTGTGTGGGTTGGAAGCATCAACCTTTCAGTTAGTAGCTGAATGCCTAACCATTTGTTTGTGCCACCAGAACTCTTTATCCCCCATTTTATAGATGAGGAGATTATAGCTCAAAGAATTTGTCCAAAGTCACACCCAGGCCATCTAGCTTCAGAATCTGTGCTCTGAACCAGCCTGCCATGCATGCTGTCTTATTGGCTTTTTTGACGATTAGGTGAGATGGTATATGTTGGCTACTCAGCCCAGTACCAGGCATATCCTAAGGGCTTAGTAAAATATGTTCTCTGTTAATGAGAATGTGAATGATGCCACCATCACCTGTAGAAAATACTAGGGAGAGAGAGAGATGGGAGCTGTGGGAGAGAGGGGCATATGTTGACAACACTTCTGCTTCCTTTGGACTCTAAAGGTGATGTGGAGGCAATGACAGGGAAGAGAGGTGTGCCCCGGGTCAGGCATTATTGTGGGTTCGTGGATTTATTCAATGTGTGTATCTTTACTGTTGACTTCAGTATCTGTAAATCCTTATGTGTATGTGAGAGAAAGAAGACTGAATAAGGGAGTGGGATGGCACTTCAGACTGAAGTGCAGTCTTATGGTACAGATGAGAATTTATTGTCATTGAATGCGTAGGAGATTGCCACAGAGGTGGGCGGGCTGGGACTCACTGTAATCTGCCATTATATTATCTGGAGCATTCTAATCCATTAGGTGATTTCCTTTGTGTCTCCTGGTAGCAATAAAGGGCTCAAAAACCACATTTTTGTTTCTTCCCCGAAATTGTGTTTTTTTTTTTTTTAATAAAAGAATGGAGGATGAAATTTATTTTCTTTAAGAATTGGAATTACAATAAAGTTATTGATGAACTAGTTGACTTATGGCCTTTTTTTCTGTATTGTCTTGAACAGGGGAGTCTTTGGGAAACAGGGTTATCAATGTCAAGGTAAGAAATCATTTTTGAAACCATGTTTAATATTGTTCCTATGTTAAAAATTGATGATATCAAGAGAAAACAGGATACATTCCATTAATATTGTGATAAAGTTTCTATATATCAATTGAGACCCCTCTATATGATTATAGCTCTTTAGTTTTTGGTTAAATCTGACTTATAGTTTAGATAGTGTCAAGGAGGCATTTTTATTTCTAGATCAGGATCTTAATCAAGTTCAGTTCTTCAAAGTTTCTTATATGCAATAACATGAAAATACTAAAAGTTGTTGCCATTTTGTGGGCAGGACCCTTGAACCTTGAAGATAAATTTTCATTTTTTTACCACCTCATTGTCAATAGAGATGAGAAGTAGCATAATGTTGCTTTCTCCACACATGCCTACAGAATAAACTATTATTCGAGTTGCTTTTTTTTTTGTTGTTGTTGTTGCTTTTGCAAAAAAAAGGGGGGAAGGCGGAGAAGTGTTCAAGGTTACACTGTTCATGATCTTTTAAATGATTATACATTACATTTTTTTTTACTTTTTACAGTTCTAAAAGAAAACTAATTTGCTCATGTTGGGGCAGAGTCAGAATGAAACAAAATGAACACAAGTGAAAGACCCCTACCCATTCAGGTCCTTTAACCAGGCTGGGCTGGATGTCTTTTATCTGGGCCTCCTCTTTTTTGGCTGAAGGACCTCTGGTGGTGCATTGGTTAAGACCTCCAGCTATTAACCAAAAGGCCAGCAGATTGACCCTCCCAGCCACTTTTCCAGAGAAAGATGAGGCAGTGTGCTTCTATAAAGATGTACAGCCTTGGAAACCCTCTAGGGCAGTTCTACTCGGTCCAATAGGGTCGCTATGTGTTAGAATTGACTTGATAGTAGTGAGTTTGGGTTTTTGGTTATTGTGGGCTTGAGTGTCATCCTGAGGTTTATGCATATGATGCCCGTCTTCCTGATTTACCCTCTATGGATTGCTGGTAAAATAGAGTGGGAACCTACATGTAAATAGGGAAACCGTGTCTTCTCTTCTTGAGGAGAAGTCAAACACCATTTTCCTTAGAAGAACTGAGAAGACATACTCTTAGATCTAATTTTGATTTTAATTTACATGAACAATTCCATTGAGTTCTCAAAGTTAGAAAGAAATATCTATACATTATGGAATTAATACAACAGTAATAATTGACCTGTATGCTGTCAATTCCAGCCCTAAGTAAGAAAATAATTCACAAGGCAGAATCAGCGTCACTTTTTGACTTGGGTCTCTCCAGCATAGGGCATTCCTCTGCCTTCAACTCTGGTACATCTTGTCCAAAAAAAACCAAACCCACGGCAATTGAGTTGATTCCAACTCATAGTGACCCTGTAAGACAGAGAAGAACTGTCCCATAGGGTTTCCAAGGCTATAAGTCTGTACAGAAGCAGACTACTGTTATCTTTCTCCTGCAGAACAGCTGGTAAGTTTGAAAGGCTGATCTGTTTAGCAGCTGAATGCCTTAAGCACTACAGTACAAGGGCTCTTTCCAACCAGTCTGTATAAAGATAAGTAGAGGCTCTTGATGGACAAGATTACAGTTTTGAGTTTAAACTACATCTTTTATGATATATACTTGTTACTTTATCTCTTCTCTTACTCAGCTTGTAGTGCCAGGAGATTGGAGGGTTGATTCCAGTGAATAACCTATTGTTAAAAGAGCAGGAAGGAAAAACAAAAAGGAAAAAAGAACAGGAAGGAGCACTGCTTAGGAGACATGAAGACACAACTTGGCTCACATCTTATAAGAGATTTAAAACCAAATGCCTTCATGCAAAAAGAGAGGTACCATGCCAGGACTACTCAAGCTGGAGTAGCTGTATTAATTTCAAACAAAGCAGACTTCAGAGCAAGGAGAATTATCAGGGATAAAAAGGAGGCATTATATAATTATAAAGGGGCCAATTCTCCAAGAAGGCATAACAATCTTTAATGTGGATGTACCTAACAATAGGGCATCAATATATACCAGGCAAAAACAGAACTGCAAAGAGAGATAAACAAATCCATTATTCTACTTGGAGACTTCAGCTTCCCTCTTTCAGGAATTGATAGATCAAACAGATAGAAAATCAGTAAAGATACAGTTGACTTGAATAGCACTATCAATCAAGTTGATCTAATTGACATTATGGAATAATTCCTTCCAAGAACAGCAGAAAACACATTTTTCTTGGCTCATAAGGAATGTTCATAAAGACAGACCACGTTCTGGGCCACAACACACACCTGAACAAACTTAAAAGACTAGAAACCATACAAAGTATTTTCTCAGACCACAGTGGAATTAAACAAGAAACTAGTAACAGAAATGTAACTGGAAAACCTCCAAATAATTGGAAATTAAACAACATTGTTCTGAATAACACATCAGCCAAAGAAGAAGTGTCATGAGAAATTTAAAAATAATTTTAACTACATCAATAAAAATTAGAGCAGAAATCAATGAAATTGTAAATGGAAAAACAATAGAGAAAAGTCAATGAAACCAAACTCTGGTTCTTTGAAAAGATCAATAAAATTGATAAACCCTCCAGCCCGTCTAGCAAAGGAAGAAACCAAATGCCTCAGAAAATGAGGTCTTTCTGTATGAAGGATGGTTTTGCAATCCCCCTCATACAAAAATAAAATGGTTCTCCTGGACATTTTCACCTTGGTGCTTTTAAGAATTTAGCTTGTTGAAAGCTAGATTTGCTTTAAGATATAGTACTATTCGGTGTCATGTCTTCTGTCTAAATGGACATAATCCTCCACATGTCTTAGAAGATTGCATTGGTAGTGCAGTGTGGTGGTGGGATTCTCATCTTTCGTGTGGAAGACCCGGCTGTAATTCTCGGCCACTGCACCTCACACGCAGCCACAACCCATTTGTGAGTGGACATTTGCATGTTGCTCTGACACTGAAGAGGTGTCAGCAGAGCTTCCAGACTAAAATGGACTAAAAAGAAAGGTTTGGAGATCTACTTCTGAAAACCAGCCAATGAGAGCCCTGTGGATGCTCAACCACTCATGGAGAGTGGTGCAACACCAGGCAGCATTGCATTCCCTAGTGCATGGGGTCTCCATGAGTTGGAGGCTGACTCAAGGGCAGCTAACCATAACAACAATATTTTTCTATACTAATTGCACATGTTCATCCCTGAGTGGCACACTGGACTCCTTCTGTACTATGCCAGTTATCTAGATGAAAAGCTAAAGAAATTGCTATTGTTCAGAAAGTTCTAAATATTCAAGGAATTGATTTGAGTCATTCAGCAAACATTTTTTGAATGCCTACTCTGTTCCAAGGAACTCTGGTAGCATAGTGGCTAAAAGCACTTGACTGCTAACCAGAAGGCTGGCGGTTCAAACCCACCAGCCACTCCTCGGAAGGAAGGTTGGGCAATCCTACTTCCGTAGCGATACTGCCTCGGAAACCCAAGGAGGGGTCACTATGAGTCGGGGCCGACTTGATGGCACATAACAACAACACAACAACTCTGTTCCAGGCATCATGCTGGGAACTCTGAGTGTACCGGGAGGCAACATGGGGAAGAAGTGAAATTAGGGGGAGAGATTGTTTTAATCTAGAAGGGAAGAAGAGGTAGAGTGCTTTTATAGAAAAGACTCTTTTGAGTTGGGTTTTGTAAATGACTTAAGATTTAGTTAGATGATAGGCAAAGAGGCTAGAGATGGGCATGGACAATGTGTGGAGGAGGGTCAGGGCTTGTTCTGGGAAGAGTGACTTAACCAAACCAAACCCACTGCCGTAGAGTCAACTCCAACTCAGAGAGTCCCTATAGGACTGCCCCCTCAGGTTTCCAGGGTTGTAAATGTTTACAGAAGCAGACTGCCTTTCCTTTCTCCTACAGAGCAGCTGGTGGGTTCAAACCAACAACTTTTTGGTCCAGTTTTCATTGGAACGAATAACTCATGGAGAAGAAAAGTGATGTTACTCTTGGAGTAGCCGGGGGTGGGGTGGGGCATCTGAAACCAGGGTGGGAAATTTGGACTTCATTGATGGGCAGGGAGATGCCATGAAAGATTTTAGATCGTGGGGCTGCGGTGATCAGAATCCCTATAGGAATGCTTCCCTGATAGATTAAAGGAAAAAGAGTCCAGAAGGATGGAATAAGCTCGAGACTTGATTCCATGTAGTTTGAGCATAAGCAAAGACCTGAGTTATTATGGTAGTACAGAACATAGGAAGGGTGGGAGCAGTGGCTGCCACCGTGTGGGCCAGACATCCAAATCTAGTCACAGTGACATGGCACAGCCCTTGTTTATTGTTACTGGCTGGACCGTGACCCTCTGATAAATGTATAATCTCTGGATTTGATTTCCTAGTGTGCACCTGTGTTGTCCATAAGCGCTGCCATCATCTAATTGTTACAGCCTGTACTTGCCAAAACAATATGAACAAAGTGGATTCAAAGGTAAGAGGATAGCAGTTGGCTTTCGTACCCTCTTTCTTCCCTCCAGCTCCCCATCCCACTTCTTCCCACCCACTTTGGCCCTGATGGTGGTTGTAGAATTGAAATCTGTCTCTTTTTTATATTATGGCATTTGTATTTCTGCACTTGTAAAGCATGATCTCCCTGTGATTTAGCTACTTCATTGGTCACCTGGATATAAACTATATGGATCAGTTCTGCTAACTTGGGGAGAGCTTTGATGCATGAGGTCCAGACAACCTGGATTTGAATGCAGAATCCAGACTCTGCTAGCTGTCTGCTCTATGAGTTTGGGCAAGGCCCACAACCTCTCTTAGCCTCAATCTAAAAATGAGATCAATACATCTCTTAGCAAATTTTTTGTGAGAGTTAAACAAGACAAAAGGAATGTAAAAAATATGTTAACTATAACCTGCTTTTTCTAAATAAGGAAACTATCGGCCTCCTCAAGCCTGGAGAAATTTCAGGGAGGCTGTATAGCTATATATAAGCACTTGGTCCTAATTTTTGCCAGTCACGTTGCATTCAGCTGGGATACCAAAAAACAAACAAACAAACAAAACTCACTGCTGTTGAGTCGATTCTGACTCATAGCGACCCCTTCTTGGGTTTCTAGGGTGGTATCTCTATTGAAGTAGATTGCCCAGTCTTCCTTCCAAGGAGCGGCTGGTGGGTTTGAAACTTCAGCCTTCTGGTTAGCAGTCAAATGCCTCAGGCACTATGCCACCAGAGCTAGTTTACATTTTAAATTCTAGAGGTTGAAAATGGAGTGTTGCTGATAATGACAATGGGATTTACAGATGCATTGGAAAGAATGGCTCTAGAAGTCAGTGGTACTTTACATACAGGGTGTTAAAGAGTAAAAATAGAGGCATGAACCACAGCTTTTATGAGAAATAAACCAGAAAAGGTTTAAGAGGAGTACTAATTGACCCAGTCCTTATTATATGTGGATCTGTTGTTGTGCTTTAAATTATGATGTAGATTGCAGAGCACAGATTTAATTATTTGCTGGAGACAATGTGTGAAATTAAACCAGGACCTTTATGCTCAGATTGTGACAGTGTTCCAACAAAGGCCAGAAGGGCTGATGAAGATAGCTGCTTTAATGACACTTTGGAGTCATTCCTTCTTTGGTTCTACTTCCTCTGGGTACCTGCCTCTTCCTTTTTCTTTTTTGTTCATAACATACTTTCTAGAAGACCCTGTGGTAACAGCAAGAGTATGTAGTCTATAAAAGACCCATTTAATCCTGAAGTAAAAGGGTTCTAGAAAATAGATACAGGTGTGAGGAGGTTGGCAGAGAGAGAAAGCAAGCATGAATATAAAAGGAGATTAAAATCTTAATATCTATCTGTCAAAATGGCAAATGATCTAGTTCACACCACATGTTTCTGTCTAGTCTTGCTGATTGAAAATGTGCTTCATCTGGTTAGTAAGACCTGAGTAATTAATCATGGCTGAGTAAGGTAAAATAATATACCCAGCTCAGGTGTCATAGTAACAATTTGTATTTGATGGGCTTCTGTTAGAGGTTTTACAAAAGATGTTGGTGTGGAATTTTAACTCTTGCCCTCCTGTTTCCTCTTTTACAGATTGCTGAACAGAGGTTTGGAATCAACATTCCGCACAAGTTCAACATCCACAACTACAAAGTGCCAACGTTTTGTGATCACTGTGGCTCCTTGCTCTGGGGGATAATGAGACAAGGGCTTCAGTGTAAAAGTAAGATGCTGAGGTGTTGGAGATCCACTTCTTCACGTGAATACTGTGCTTCAAGCTTTGGGAATTCTATAGGGTCAGAATCTGACCTGGGACAGATGGTTTTAGAAACTTTGTAAATTAATAATATCTTTGTAGTTTTCTATTCATGTGCTGATTATCAGGCATGTAAAGAGAGCTTTGTCTGATCCAAAGAAATCCTAACCTTTAGAACATTAAGTCAGATGTTAAATTCAGTTAATTCTTTCCTTCCTTCCTCCCGTCCTCTCTCCCTCCCTGCCTGCCTTCTTTCTCACTCTTTCACTTGTGTTCATTCATTCATTCATTCCTGAGTACATGCTAGTCATTGTTTATTTTAATAGGTAATTTGAAAGGAGAATGGGATCTTGGTCAGGAATGGAAGATGGTAGAGGTGAAATCGCTAAAGTGAAGGCTGGCTTATGAATAAGACGTGTCAGGAGAGGTAGGTCTGATGACCTCACCAGAAATAAGCAGGAATGGAGTTGGGAAGTATCATAGAGTGGCCTCACGTATTCCAAAAGAGTGCTGGGATGGAGCTTTGAGGAGTCGGTGGAGTAAAAGATGCTTAATGCATTGGCTGTGGGCTTGCACTTTACTAACTGTGGCCACTGGGGCCAGAGTTTGGAGCTTTGCCTTTGCAAAGAGGGGCGAGAGAGAGTGAAGGCTGATCCGTGTCCTGTTGGGGAGCAGCTGGGGAGTTGGGGAGCAGCTGGCCCCGAGTCATCTCTCTTTGAGTGTTGCTGTAATGATCTGGGTGTCGTGGGGAATACCACCCCTTGTTGAAACACAAGTGACTTTCATCCTGAGGCCTTATCAGACACAATCCACTGGTTGAGGAAGGATGGGGTAGGCAGAGTTGACGTGGGCTTACCAAGCCTGCTTCTGTCAATAGAAAAGGAATCAGTGCTTGCCTTTGAGGGCTACAAATTCTTCTATTCCTCTAGAGCACTATTTAATAATTCTTATATAACCAAAACCAGCAGCCAGCTCATGGATTCCTTTTAGGGATTTGGTTGAGTCTCTGCTTGGTCTTAAGCTAGATGATCTCACTGGCTGCGGTTTCCAGTGTGAAACTCACTTGCTGGTTCCATTCCACCATTACTGACGTACAGAGCCGTCCATGAGGCTCACCTGTATGTGCTCGTCCCTGGTGGCCTGAGGGTGTCGCTGCACCTGCAATGAGCTGGCTCCAGTAAGTTTTGCTTTTATTGTCACATGGTGGTTTCAAAAGGTCACTGCAGGCTGTGTGTCTCCATATCAGCCTTTCCAGGAGAGGTTGATTTCCTGTGAAGCTAATGAAGCATAAGTCTCAGAGCCCATCCTTACAAGGACCCCTTCCAAGGCTTCTGCTTGATATGATATTCTGTTTCTTAAGCAGGGTCTCTAAATTATATAAACTTCAAGCACCACAAAACCTGGAATTGCACCTGCTTCCAAAGATGGACTGACTCTCCATAAACAGGGAACCTCTGCTCTCTCACCCCGTTAGCAGGGTGTCACCCTGTTAACAAGGGTTGGGAAACTCTGCCAGATCATTCCTTCTGCTGGTTAAACCACTGTCCTTTGTCATGCCAAGTCGGTACTCTGTGCACCACGAGCTTAGCTTCCTTTATTCTCTTCTGACTGTCGTTTACTCTGACCTTTAAAAAAAAGCTTAAAAGTTACTTCCTTTTTTTTTTTTTTTTCCATTACCAGTTAGAAACACAGGCTGCAAGTGCTGAGAACCCCAGCCTCACAGGATGCCCGTCTCTGTGCTGTGAGGTCTACCCAACCACAATAGTATTCAGAAAGAAAGATTTGTTTAGAGGGTTTTCTTGCAAAAACACCATTTCCATCCTCTTCAAACAATGATCTATATGTGTCATTTAGACTGCTGCCTTTTATTGTGCTCTTGAGAGAGAGAAGGAAAAGAATAAAAATTGTCATCATGATGCCTTGTGATTTAATTGACTATGAGTTGTCATTGTGGTAAGCGTTTTGATCTTGTATTGAGTCATGCTGGTAAGTCAGCAATGACTCTTACACAGGATTTAGATGTCTGTGTCTCATCAAGTCAAGGTGCAAAGTGTGTATTTGAAATGTATTAATCTTCAGTATGCCAGGCTTTCTGCTTGTGCACAAAGCAACAACAGATAAAACGTCAGGACTTGTCATAGTATAAGTTGAATTTTATAAGAAGATGACACTGTTCAGCCTATAGCTTGCCTGGTTGTTGCAGTTCTTTTTTATAGTACATGTGGACTTGGCTCCTGCCTGAATGTGGAATTCTGTTTTCCTCTTCCCTCCAGTATGTAAAATGAATGTACACATCCGATGTCAAGCAAATGTGGCCCCTAACTGTGGGGTGAATGCTGTGGAGCTGGCCAAGACACTGGCGGGGATGGGCCTCCAACCTGGAAATATCTCTCCCACCTCGGTGAGACTTTGCTTCTGGTCATGTATGTTAATTTTGAAGTTGTTCAGCTGTAGAGAGACTGAGTGAGAGCATGTGGCGTAATCACAGGTCCTCCTCTAACAAATGCAAGGAGCAGATTCAGTGCATCCCTTTACGAGCGTTTGCTCCACAAATGGTTTTCTCTGTACAGTTATATGACAAGAAATAATGAGCATGCGGATAGAGCAGGAAGGAGGAAAAGGATTTTAATTTTTTTTTTTTTTTTTAAGAACAAATCAGCTTCCTGTCAGTGTGGTGTTTTGAAAAGTCTGGAATCCAGGGGCCGAGGTTATGCCCATGGCTGGGGGATGGCACAGGACAGTTGACCAGGGACTTTGGGCCTCAGCTTCCTGATCTTTGATGTTGTTGAACTTGAAGATCTCTGAGGTTCTCCACAGCCGTGGAATTTAGCTGCTCTGTAGTTTTTGTTTATAGATTGTGAATTTATCTCTCACACTGAGTGACAGACAGGAGTTCCTTCCTCTTGGCTTTCAGGAGCAGCTGGAATTGTAATTGCTGTGGGCATGTTTTTGTCTTGTGACCTCCTTGAGTGACCTCCACCTGCTGTAGTTCATTAGAACTCTGGCCACTTCTCAGACCTGTGTCCTGTTGCTGCCCTCCAGGTCTGCTGAGAGGAGAGCTGGGAAATAGCCATGGATATGGCTGTGATTTGTGAAGGGTGTCAGTTGATGTTGGTTCAGGAAAATTCTAGACAGAACTGTTATAATCTCTGGTACTTAGGAAGGAAACTCACTCACTGTGAGTTTCTCAGCCCATGAAAATGTCAGGACTAATGACTTCAATTTGCTTTTTACCGAAAGTCCTGCATGTTAGACCAGGAACTTTGTGTTGACATTGTAGTACTTGATTTCAGGAAGACATTGGCAAAGTCTGTCACGTTAGGTATGTCTTGCAGGTAGGCAGGATGCTAATGCCCACCCACTTCCATCAAGCCAGTTCCAACTATAGCAACCCTATGGAACAGAGTACAACTGCCTCACAGGGTTTCCATGTTGTAAATCTTTACAGAAGCAGACTGACTCATCTTTCTCTCACAGAGCAGCTGGTGGGTTTGAACTGTTAGCCCTTTGATTAGCAGCCCAATGCTTTAACACTAGCACCACCAGAGCTCCTGGGTCCTAATACAGTGAGGAGGATTTCTAATTCATGGGGCACTTATTCCTGAAGTGTGGAGATTACACATTTCCACTTGGGCCACAGCTTGTAAAATGTGAAAATAAGGTCATATGGCCCAATCTCCAAGGATGGGGAATATCACTTGTCATTTGGACCAGTATCTTTAATATTATATGTAATACTGAGAAACCTGAAATCACCTCTTATTTGATAGTACAACGTTATAAAGAGACAGACAATTTTATCAGAAGAGAGGAATGAGTTAAAGAAAAAAAGATTGAGACATATTGGCATAGAATTTTCCAGCCAGTACCAGCCCAACCAGGGGAAGTATTTAAGTGGAGGAAGTGAAATTCAAGCTGGTAAAATTTTTCTGTTTCTGAAAAATTTGTGATGTCGGACCTAGAGGAAAAGCTATGAAAGCAGTGGGATTTTTAAGATGGTCTACTGTGTATATCTTGCTAACTCGTTTTTTTTTTCGTGGGGGGAGTTGTTAAGTAAAATGCTTGTAGTTTCAGGCTGTTGCACAGTTGGTTTGTTGCAAACATTGCTTAAAGTTGACCCCAATAGATTTTTTTCTTAAAGCTAACTAGGCCAAAAGCTCCTGGTATGTTAGACTTGGTCTGTTGTCTAGTGGTCTCTTGCCTTATACGTATTCCAAGGTGGCAAGCTACAGAAGTCCCCTTACCTTTCTGCCCTCTGAAAGGGCATGTACACAGTATAACTGGTCTGGAAGGCTGGCTGAGGAGGCCAGTGTGTTAGATAAGGAGAAACTGGAATCCTCCATATGCTGGTGAGAGGGTAGATTGGTCAATCTTTCCAGAAGGCAAGTTGGCTGTGTATCATCAGTCTTTAGAATCAGCACAGACTCTGACCCTAGGAGGAGCTCTGGTGGCACAGTGGTTGAAGAATTCGGCTGCTAACTAAAATGTTGGCAGATGGAACCCACCAGCCGCTCCTTGGGAGAAAGATGAGGCAGTCTGCTTCTGTAAAGGTTTACAGCCTTGGAAACCTTATGGGGCAGTTCGTCTCTATCCTATAGGTCGCTCTGAGTCAAAATCATCTCAGTGGCAGTGGGTTTGGGTTTCTGACCCTAGGAATTCCATTTCTACAGAATCATTGTAAGAAAATAGATGATGGTGACAACAGAGCTCAAATTTATTCAGTGATTGTATGTGCCAGGCACTGACCTGAGGGCTTTATGGGTATTTAGTCATTTGCTGTTCTAACTACACATGTGGAAGATGCTATGCAAAAAAACAAACCCGACTTATGGCATTGAGTCCATTCTGACTCACAGTGACCCCGTTGGGTTTCCAAGGCAGTGAATCTTTACGGATCCTTCTGTGGAGCTGGTGGGTTTGAACCATCAACCTTCTGGTGAGCAGGCAAATGCCTTAGGCACTATGCCACGAGAGGAGGAGTGCTATAACATTCCCCTTTTCAGAAAAGAAAACTGAGGCTTGCAAAGGGTGAGTAATTTTCCCAGAGTCACAAGGTTGGGTCCCAGTGCTGTTATTTGAATCTAAATGGTCAGCTTATAGCCTAGACACCTAATCATCCTACTATTGAAGATTTGTATACACGTATGTTCTTCTTAGTGTTACTTATAATAGTGAAAAAATAGACAACTGATATATCAGGGGAATTGGTAAGTAAATTATGATATATCCATAAAAAGAAATATTGAACAGCAATTAGAACTCATATCCTTGAAGGAATCTTCAAGGGTATTTAAGGATATGGAAAATACATATGTCAGAAGATTAAACAGAAAAGTGTGTTATTAAAGCATAACTTCGATTACATTCAAAAAAATAACCAGGCATAAAAAAGACAGATGTGTTTATACATGTGCCAATGTATTAACAGATTTTTTGTGTGTGTATGGTGGGGGAAGTGGTGAGTCTGATGGGATTAAAAGTATTTTAAATTTGTCCTTCATAAGTTTGTTAATTGTTCCAAATTTATATTGACCTGTTATTTCCTTTTATATATTTTAAATATTGTATATTTTTTTTAAAAAAGTAGCTCATATATTCATGTCCTGGTACTGAACGCTGCTTGATTCTCTCTGCAAACATTAAAACTGCTCTTTGTAAGAAGTGGTCACCAGGTGGCGTTCTTAGCGTTTCTATATACTCGTGTGTGCCTGCCTACTGAAACTCAGTGGCTTAGATGTATTTTTAAATAATTTTTTCCCTAAATAGCAGTAAGCCCAGATCAGCAGCTGATACTGAGGTAGTTTTGAATTTTAAAACCTGATCACATGTTGAGAAGAACTGGTTTCTTTCCCGAGGAGAGTTGTATTGGGGCTTGGGACCGCTCCCACAAGTACAGGTCTCCATCCATAAATGCTTCAGGCTTACACTGAGATTTCTGACACAGTTTGTATTCCTACTTTTCTCTGCAGAAGCTTGTTTCCAGATCGACCTTAAGGCGACAAGGAAAGGAAAGCACCAGAGAAGGAAATGGGATTGGAGTTAATTCTTCCAACCGACTTGGCATCGACAACTTTGAGTTCATCCGAGTGTTAGGGAAAGGGAGTTTTGGGAAGGTGGGTCTTGGCTTTAACTGTGCTGAAGTAAGCATGTGTGCATATGTCGTTTGTGTGTGCATGTTGTACACAAACTCATATTTCTCATGTGCCATTCTAGTTCTTCCCCATGTGTGGCCACATCCTAGCCATCCCAAGAATACTTCCTCATGCTCCGTCTGTTTGCCTCCATAGGTGATGCTTGCAAGAATAAAAGAAACAGGAGACCTGTATGCTGTGAAGGTGCTAAAGAAGGACGTGATCCTCCAGGACGATGACGTGGAGTGCACGATGACCGAGAAGAGGATCCTGTCTCTGGCCCGCAATCACCCCTTCCTCACTCAGCTCTTCTGTTGTTTTCAGACCCCGGTAAGTTCACCACCTAGATGGTCTGCCTTCCTAAAGAGGTGAAGAATGAGATGTTGAAGATTTTATGAAGTAGAGGATCGGAAACTATTTTGGGGATGGGCTCCCAAGACAGAGCCTTATGAAGGTACCAGTGACTTCTGATGAACGCTGGGACAAAGCTGAAACTAAAGAACTAACCCTTTCTTTTCTGACTGTCCTGGGGAAAGCACCTTTTGAGGATTGTGTGTTTTAAGACCGAAAAGGTCTTCACACTTCAGTCTTCTCTAGCAGAGTGAGAGGTTATAGGAGTCTAAGAACAAAGTAAATGTCATGGGCTAATTATCTTGGTTAATTTGGCCTTGGCTCTGCTCCTAAATGCTGTACTGGTTCTGACCCATGCACATGAAGAGTTCAGCCAACAATCCTGGCTTCAAACAGATAATCTTTGCTTGATTCCCTGGACTGTCAGTTCCAGGTAGTCAAGTCTGTCTAACTTATGGTGGTATGTAGTTAGGGATGTTTTTGGCTACAGTTAACCAAATACCAAACCAACAGTAGCTCAAACAATAAACAGAAAGAGTGAGGTTGGTTCACTGGTATGAGCTATTTTCTTGTTATCTCACATAAAGAAAAGTCTGGTGGTAGCAAAAGGAGCTCTGGTAGCGCAGTGCCTAAGGCATCTGACTGCTAACCAGAAGGTTGGTGGTTCAAACTCACCAGCCACTCTGTGGAAGGAAAACTGGGCAATCTACTTCCATAGAGATTTACCATCTTGGAAACCGAGCAGAGGTGAATGTGAGTTGGAATCAACTCGATGGCAGTGGGCTTGTGATAGTAATGCTAGAGTTAGACTAGTTGCTTGGTGACACTGGGCATTTTTCCTTGGGGTCTCAAGGTATTTGCCACAGCCCTCATCTTCACAAGACAGCATCCGAAGCAGGAACCATGGGGGCAGCACGCAGGCTTCATGGGCTAATCCCTTTATCAGGAAGAGAAAATAATTCCTAGACTTAGGTCATCTGCTCACTGTTAGCTGCAAGGGAAACTGGAAGAGTAAATATCCGGCCAGGATAAAGTGGTTTAGCATGATTGGTTCATCTGCTGGAGTGGGACTCTTTGCTGCCCCTTAGAGTTGGGTTCAAACTTGGTCTTTTGATATTAGTGAAGGGGGAAAATGGTTCCTGAGAAGGCAACCAGAAGGTCTGTGACAGATGTGTAAGACATTCCCTGCTGTCAAATGTCATTCCAGGGCATGCATTCTAGACACAGAAAGTGAATTCTGGACCTGCCCTTTGTCTGTGCTACTACCATCAAGGGAATAGAGGGTCTAGTAGGAACAGGATAGGGGCATCTCACCTGGTCCAGGAATGCTGACAGTGCACCTATAGGGAAAGTAATAACTAAGCTGAACCCAGAAAGGTGAGTTAGAGTTAGCTAGGTAAAGAGAATGAGAGTGAGAATGCCAGATAGCGTAGTCAGTAGGCCACAGGTTGAAGGAGGAGGGACAGCATCAGGTATGAATAAAGCTCAACATGCATAAGCGTCCAGGTTGAGGACAGCCCGGTGAGAGCTGATGCTGCAGAGAATGCCAGGGCCGTGCCACGAAGGGCTTTGCAGGCCATGTCAAGGAGTTTACGTTAGTCCTAGGAGCAATGCAAAGTCCTGTAAGAAGTTTTATAAATTGCATGTTTTTTTTTTTTTTTTTAACTATAAAAAACTATCATTTTGGAATTGGTGATGGAAGCATCCTCCCAATATCCTTTCTTTGAAGGAAACAACTATGACTGCTTTCGTGTCTCACCTCTCAGAGACTCTTTTGCATGTGAAAGAATACACACACAACATATAAATGCATGCACATTTATTTTTAAGAAAAAAGCCACAAATGGTACACCCACTCTTCACTTATCAACATGGTTTGGCTCCAGATGTTTTTACACAAAAGTCGACATTATGTGAAAATGGAGAATGACCACATCAGATTACAAAATGGAGGATGACCACATCATTATGTAACTGCCAAATTACGTCATTACTTAACTACCAAACCACTGAGAATCATGGCTTAGCCACGTTGACGCATGACCTTAACCATCACAGCCAGCATTACTCTGGCCTCACACCTTGGTGTACGTTACTATCAGGCTGCAAAATAGCTGGATGGTAGTTTTTTATTATTGTTGTAAAAGCAAAATGTCAGATAACAAGGTAGTCTATAAGGGAGGGGCAGATATATACATTTTACCCACTTCTGTACTTTTCTTTTTTTTTTTTTTTAAAGTAGTATTATTATCTTGGAGATTGTTTCCCATTGGTAAATGCTTAGCTGCCACACTTTTTAATGGCTGCGTGGTATTCCATTTTAAGAACATAGCACAATTTATTTAACTTCTTCCATATTGTTATGTATTTAGGTTGTAGCTAGCCTTTTATTCCAATGATTGTTACAGTGAGACCCTTTGTACTTTTATATTTGTTTACACGCTGTGCTACTGTTTCTGTGTGACACATTAGTAGTGGTAGCATTTGGTCAGAAAGTATGTGAATTTAAAATTCTGATTGAGTCCAAATGCCCTCTTCCCCCAAATGGCTAAAGACAGCTAGCATTACAGCCTATATTCCAGGCACCATTCTAAGTTCTAAGTGCTTTATGTGTACAATTCCATTTAATCTGTACAGTAGCCCTATGAAATAAATTCTGTTATTATCAACCTCATTGCACAGCTGAGAAAACTGAATGTAAAAAATGGCATGGGGGCAGCATGAGACCTGCTTGTCTAACTTCAAAAGTGGGGGGCAGAATCATTATCAGCATCAGTAGGCCGAGGCTGATTCCTATGAAGTGAAGGTCAGACATACCTCCTTTCTCCAACCATTTTACCAATTCTGACACCAGCCATCCCTCCTGCAGCATACTTCTCTGATGTTCGATAATTCACGGCAGTGGCCATACAGTACTCACGGACAATACTCACGAATGCGGGGTTTATTAGGGAAGTAACAGGTTCAGGAATGACTCAGAATACAGGTCATCAGTCAGGACAGCTTCTTGGCTGTGCCTACAGGCAGGCCTCTCTCTGACCCTTGGCCTTTCAGCTCTTGGTCTCTTGGGCCTTTTGAGCCAGCCTGGCTTCTGCCCAGCTCGAGCAAGTGTTAGAAGCTCTTTAGTTCCACCGATAAGTTCCCAGAGGCGCCCCTCTCTGCCAGCAAGCCTCCTGCCCGAAGGCGCTCAGCTTTCTCACTCCATGGCCAGGAAGCCCATGATGCTGTCTCCTGCCAGTTTCCCACTACTGCTGCCATTTCTCTGCTGCTGCTTCTTGCGTCTCTCACCATCTCTGGCATTACAGCTCTTACTGTCTCCTGAGTCTAAGAAGTTCTCAGCACAGGAACCCTGGGCCAAAGGACGTGTTCTACTCCTAACTCACTCTTCCTTCTTAGTGGTAGTTAGGTCCCCCTTCCCATTTCTGGGATGGTTCATTTTAAGTCTAGCAGGATGGCAGAACTGACCAATCTCTCATTAGGGTTCCATATGCTTTATTTGCATGATCCCATCCACCATCCACACAAGGTGCCATGCACCCTATTTGCATTATTAGCACGCTGTCTAACCCCCTTGTTGGACCACAACCATCTTATTCATATAGTCCCACCTAATCATTTGGTGAGAGTTACAAGACCATGGAGCAAAAAGCCATATATAAGTGATCCATCGCACTGCACCGAGACACATAGAGGTTTACGCCTCTACATGGCTGGCTGGCTGGGTTTGAAGCCAGGCAGTCTGACTGCAGAGCCCAGGCTCTTTCCTTGATGAGCTGCGTCTTCCAGTTTATACTCGCAAACCACATGGGAGAGGACCATTTCTCCCTCGCTCCCATCATGGCATGCTATCTGTTTTGATTATTGAATTCCAAAAGATTTTTCTTTTAATGGTATCTTTGGAGTTCTCATTTGCATTTCTTTGTACTCTTGTTTTGTACTCATGTTTAAGGGTCACTTGTGTTCAGATCTGTTTTGGAAAGGACACGTGTGCAGCTTGAAAAATGGCTGGAGCAGGGCAAGGCTGGGGGCTGGCAGACAGGTGGTGCCTTGAGGGGGATCCACTGCTGGGACTCCCCATGTTGCCCAAGCATATCAGAAAGAGTCTGGCCATGGCTTCTTGGGACAGTCTACCTCTACACTCCTTCCTCCCTCCCTCAGGTCGGGCTCCTCCAGGCCGCACTCTTCTCACCAGCTGCCCTCACTTGGTGACGCAGTGTTGGAACCCGTGCTCCCCTGCCCTCTGGCCCGATTCTCCCCTCGCATCTCCTGGGTCCTCTGCTTCGCTGGGGCTTCAGCGTCCTCCCTGCTCCAGTGCACTGTCCTCAAAGCTATATTTCCTGTGCTCCCACTTTGCCAACATAAAGCCCTTACCCCACCCTCATCCAACACACCCTTTTTTTTGGTGGGGGGAGAAGAATGGGGCTACTTGAGAACATTCTTGTAATGAAGAAATGGCTGATAAGCTGGTACCGGCCACCCACCTGAGGCTCAGGCTCGAATGCCCTAATCACACCATACCTCTGAGGCAGAACTGAGGGCATGACCCAGATAACCTTAGGCCTGAGATCTTTGATGATATCAGATTAGAACTCAATCAGATATGGAACTGAATGTTCCATATGACATCAGGCTCTGGTGGCATAGTGCCTAAGGCACTTGACTGCTAACCAGAAGGCTGGCGGTTCAAACCCACCAGCCACTCCTCGGAAGGAAGACTTGGCAATCTACTTCCATAGTAATACCCCCTCAGAAACTCAAGGAGGTGTCACTGTGTGTCAGAATTGACTCGACGGCAGTGAGTTTGGTTTTTGGTTTGTTCCATATGATAGCAGGTTAGATAACCAGTGAGAAGCTTCGAGTCAGGCAAGCAACTGATATTTAGTAATTGGGCCCAAACAGTGGCTGTTTTGCCATGTAGCTGCTGATGAAGCAAATAAAGGAATGTCTCCTACCCAGCTCTTGGGGAATTTTATTACAAG